AATTCTTTCCTTAACTCCTCATTTGTAGAAATAACATGATTTGAAATTATTTGAACAGGTTTCAAGTTCGTTTGTTCATTTGACGTCGTAGTTTGATCGGTATGAGAATTAATTATTTGTTTTGATGTTTGAAGCTTGATAAATTCGTAGGAATTTTGTATTTCAGATTTCAAACGTTGTCCGAACAATTCAAATTCCGTTGCCTGCTTTTCTAATAATTGATACAAAGGATTTGTTGTATCGACAACTTTCTCGGTTGAATCCATTTTTCTTTTTTAAAGGTAGTAAAAAAAAGAAGAGAGAGTTCATTAACATGAAAAAAATGGTCGTTTCTTATAGGTGCTGGGAGGGATCATGCAAATCCTTACTATTTATATCGTCGTCATTAACAGAAGACTTTACCCTTAACGGAGAATTTGTTGGTAATGAAATCATCAAGACAATTGAAACGGATGTTATGTTCAGCACGGCTACATATTCATACGCAGTCATTCTTTTATCTTTTATGCGACCGGATATTCATAAAAGGCAAGTCACATTACATATATCAGTTTCCCCGAAATTGTCTGATCGTAGGACACAAATAATCTATACGCTTGAATAAGAATGAATGCTATATGTACAGGAAAAAAAAAGTTTTTTATTTTAATCATTTTTGTAAATAAATGTTGTAACCATTGGTAAAATACCAAGAGTCTTCGATACGTAATGTTAAGAATTTGATTTTATGATCCGCAGTAAATTATAACTGTATTGATATCCGTCAGACCCTTCATTTTCAGATTAACTTGTAAGTCAACCGATGTGGACATGCAAGAAGTCTATGAGCTTTCCATTCGGTATGTTGATTGACTGGTTTGAGAAAAAATTTTTTCTTTATTGAACGGATATTTGGTATATGATTGATCTATTTTAATAATTAATAATTTTATTATTTTTTATATGTTTTTTTTAAAAAAATTTTGCATCAGCCTATTTTGGAGAGTTCTCTGAACAGGAACGCCGCTATTTCTCTGAACAGGAGAACTCTCTAATGGCAAGATTCCATCTTGCTCTTGTCTAGCAATCTCTAAATCATAATTACGAGCAAAACCCTGAACATTCGTATCAAATGGGGTTGTTTGGCGACTGATGTACTCTTGTTGAAAATTTGAAGGTTGTGGACATAAGTCTGTTACTTCATCCTGACTCGCAGAATATTTTTCACCCTGTGGTAACTGAGGTTTAGATTGATTGTAATCATCATCAGAGTTTTCGATAAAGTTATTATATGATAAAGGATGATCATATAAATCTTGTTCGGTAAATGTTTTTTCGTCAAATTGAAGTTTTTCGGCTAATAATCTATCATTTTCGAATTCATTTTGTTTGAACTTGATTTTTAATTCCTTTAATTCCGCTTTAGTTTGTTCAAAAGATTCAAATACAAGCATAAAATTAATTTTGAAATCATTTAATTCTTCGATTTCTTGTTTCAAATAGTTTACATTTAAATCACTTTTAAGCCTATTCAATTCCTCTCTTAATTGTTTAATTTCGAACTTTTGCTTTTCAATGTTTTGATTTTTAATGATAGAATCCGTTTCCAATTCTTCTATACGGGCCTTTAAAGAATCTTTTGATTCTGATTTTGAACCATTTGTTAAATCATCATTCCGTGAAATCAAATTAAATGCTTCCCCGGGTTTGGCATCAGTCGTCGTATTGGTCGTGACTCGTTGACTCGTCGGAGAATCAACTGTCATTTCATAACTTGTGATTTTGTTCTTTTTAGTTGACTTTTGTTGCCTTTGCCTTTGCACATCGGCCTTTAGACGTCTTCCAAATAATTCAAATTCCATTGCTTGTTTTTCTAATAATTGATAATAAGGATCATCATCATCATCATCATCATAACTGTTTGATCCAATATTAACTGAATTCATATTATCTTTTTTTTCAAAAGAAAGCAAAAAAAAAAAAAAAGAAATTTAAGGATGGGAAGAAGAAGAAGTAGAGAGAAAAAGAGTGGAAGAGGGGGGGAAAAAAAAAAGGCAATTATAATTGCACAAACGGTAGGACATGTATAAATCAAAAGTTTAAATGGGTTAGTTGGTTAACTTCGTGTTACAAGTCAAACTGCGGAACCTGCGATACAGATACACCAAACAAACAGGGAAGTTAAGTTATCTTAAAAAGTGTGTTTGAGAAATTGATCTCACGTAAAATATGGGATATCTAAGGGCATGAAATTGGGTATCAGAAAGAAATTATTGTGATCGACACCAATATAATATACATATATTATATGTTGTATAATTTTGCGTCAGATGACGACTGGCCTAAATTATAAGCCTATTTTGGGCTGATCTTATAATGCCTTAAGAAGGTTTGGCCAGCATTAGTCATCTGACGCATGTCAACTGTCATTTGACTCAAAACGACATCTGACGCAAAACAAATATATACATATACTTTTAATAAGATCTAAAGATAAAATAATATATATTTTGTGTACTACTGTTAATAAGCAGAAAAGAAGTCAGAAAGGCAAGAGAATATGAGGAAAAAGTGTATAAAACAGTATAGTCTGAACTAATTTAGGTATAAAGAATAGTTGATAAATTTAAAAAGAAATATCGTCATAGTCAAATCTTTTAAATTAAATTTGAATAATTCAAGTAGTTGCCTCATTGGTTCGCCTACGATTAACTTGAGCCGTCGATCATTTATTTAATGATAATTAGCCTTTTTTACAAATGTATTGTAGATCTATTAAAACATATTTATATTCCATTATATCATGAAACAAATTGTTGCTAGTTCTTTCTTTTTCACTCAACGACAAAAAAAAAAAAAAAACCGGAAAATAAAATATTTTTTTCAATGGAGAATATTGACATTAATCCCAAAGTTTCTTCAGACTTTATTTCGTCTGATATTGGACAAAAAATTTTTATGATGCTCAGTAGTCCAAATCATAAAAACCTTGTCCATGTTCAAAGAAGTATAGGTGCGCAACAAAATTTAAAAAAAAAAAAATTTTTTTTTTTTTTTCTAAACTACATGTAATGAATAACTTTTCTAACAATTATATATCTATTCTCTTTTTTTTAGAACCAATTGTAAAAGTTAATAACAAACCTCCTTCGAGTGTTAGTTCTAATATCACTTCTATGCGAAAAACAATTCCCAAGGTACCTAGAACAGGGAATAACGTTATAAATAAACAAGCTCCTACGTCGAGTAATCGCTCAACACATATTCAAAATTTTACCCATCGTGACGAGCAACGCTTTTCTAGAATAAATCAGCAACGTCAACGGCAACAAAATAAATTGCATAAGAAGCGAATTAATTATCAGAGACAACTTGCTGCGGCTTCTCGAAATTCTAGAGATGAAGATTATTCGGACGATGGTTTCGATTTGAAACAAGCTGACTTAAGATTACTAAGGCTTGTAAAGGTAATTATTTTTATTCGCGGTTTTATCATCCTTGAATATGAAATTTAATTTTTTTTTTCCTTTTTTTATTAAAAAAAAAAAATAGAGAGAGCTTCTTAATTACATTGAAGAAATTCCATCAAAGAAATTAAAGAGTGGTGAACTCACAGCGACAGAGATCAGACCTTATATTAGAGAAATTCACTTTCCTAGATTCAAAAAGTATTTGCTTAATAAGGGAATACGAGCTCCTAGTGAAATGATACTTAGGTGTATTAAAGACCTTCATATTTCTCGTCGTGACGTGTGGCTCAAGAAACAAAGGAAGTTACGTGAAGAACGTTCCCAAGAACAAACGAACTTGAAACCTGTTCAAATAATTTCAAATCATGTTATTTCTACAAATGAGGAGTTAAGGAAAGAATTAGAATCTATGAAAGCTCGTATAGAAGAATTGGAAACGGATTCTATTATTAAAAGTCAAGATATAGAAAAACAAAAAGTCGAAATTAAACAACTTAAAGAAGAATTAAATAAAAAGGATACCACCACAGATATAAAAAAGTTGAAACAAGAAATTGATGAATTAAATGAGTTTAAATTTAATTTTATGAGTTTATTTGACACATTAGGTTCCGAGTTATCGGAATTAAAAATTAAATTCGAACAAAATGAATTTTTTGGAGATAGTTTAATAGCTGAAAGACTACAATTAAATGAAATTAAGAATGAAAGCCTGAAGCCTAGACGAAAAAATATCAATAACCTGACGTCTAGACAATCTTTTAAAACAACACCACTTGTACAGGCTTTCGAACCACTACCAAATCTTGAAAATAACGTGATACTTAGATCATCTGATGATGAAAGTACAGATGATGAAATAATGAATAAATCGTTTTCAAAAGGATTCATAGGGTCAAATTCTGGATTTCTTCCTCAAAGTAGATCACAGTCCTCTAATGTGAATCCTATACAGCTCTCTTATTCTCCCTTTGTTCATCCCCCTCCTCAAGCTCCTTTAGGGTCCTTTACTCAAGCTCCTTTATCGCCCTTTACTCAAGCTCCTTTAAATCACTATGATCCGGATACTCGAGATTCGATACCGCAAAGACGATCATCTAGAACTGATCGCAGAAATATTAACGACATTTAATCACATCCCGAATTATTTTCAACTAATTTTTTTCAAATTTTCTTTATACATCATTTTATAGATTTAAAACTTTTTTTGTATTGTTAAAAGAAAAATAAAAAATTTTTTTTTTTCATAAATCTCGATCGAATTTTTATTTTTTAATAATCTATAAACAATATCTTAGCAATTATAAACGAAATTACCACCACAATAAAAACATTTTTCGCTTACTATTAAAATAGCTTTAAAAAATTTTGATTTCATAAATGATTCGTCGTTGGATATGATTTGATTTGCATTTGTTATATCAAATGATTTACGTTTGCATATGCTACACGATTTTATAAACTTATTGGAAAGAATATTTAACGTTATAGAACATCGTTCTATAAATTGAAGGAAATGTAAGTTGCTAGAAAAAGGATTTCTTGAAAAAAAAAAAAAAAAAAAAAAAGCGAAAAATTGAAGTTACCCCAGAGATGTCCTTTCTCACAAACGCCTTTAAATCCAGGTCCTAAAGAAACGCGTAATGAACATAAAACAAAATTAATATATATTAAGAATATAATCACTAATTTTTAATCTTTAAAGAAATCCTTATTTTCTTTCAATTGGATTAACAATAAAAAAGGATATTTGTTTGACACAGCGGACAAGATTCTCTTGCAGGAATCTTTAATTTCCTCGTTTTTGAAAACTTTTTAGATGAAATAATCTTGACAGTCCAATTTATTTCATTATCCAAATCCCTAAATATTTTTCTTGTTGCGTTTCCTTGTAATCCGTTTAAGCATTCATAAATTATCTTTGCATAGTTTAATAAATTTTCTTCGGTCTGATTATATATTAATACCCAGTCGCATAAATTTAATATAAAGATTTGATCTCTTTCTATAAGAGAAAAAATAAGTTAAAAGATAATTGAATAAACAATATTATTTTGTAAAAACAAATCTTGTTTCTTACCATTAACAATTAAATCACGTTGAAGGCAATATGCAATTGTATCTAATACCTTTTCCAAAAAATATTTCATCAGGGTAGACACTTCATATTGGACTTTATTTTGAATCTCGATACTTTCTTCTCCATTAAATTCTAACCGCTAAAACAAGAAATCAAAGTTAACTAAATTAAATCTCATAAAACTTTTTGAATATTTTCAAAATCACATACCAAAGTGTTATTATAAAGGTGCAAAAGGATTCTCAGTTTATTCAACAAAGTATTATGATACAGCTGACTCTTTAGCCTTTTAATTAATCCAGGTAATGATAATTCACTTTATTGAAACGAAAAAAAAATTTATTAACCTCTTAACATATATATATATATTTATAGAATTTTTATAATTACTTTGTTTCTACGTTAAACAATGATCCAAAATAAGCAGTTTCGGACAACAGTAAATTATCTGGCATAGTTGATTGTTGTAAGTAATCATTTCTGACAGCTTTCTCCAATATAGAAAAAAAAGAATCATCCTCATAATATTCATTTTCAGGATCACAGTATTCAAGTAAATCCCACATAATATAAGTAATTGATTTTCTACAAACTAGCAAAAAAAAAATTATCACGATTTATTTTTTTTTTTTTTTAAAAAAAAAAAAAAAAAACTTACTTAAAAATGCATCCTCAAACTTATTCAAGAGTTGTTTAGTTAAAGTTTCACGCATTTCCATGTTTCCATAATTTTCGGTAGCAACAAAGGTAACATGAGAGACCTCAAATTTGTCAGTAAGATACTGTACAGTACGAGATTCTAAAGCAAAAACAACCGCAACAAATAATCCATTGGCAGATGAGTCTGCTCCATAATAAACCGGTTCTTTCAATGAAGAATCATTTTCTGCCTCTTCTTGATTTTTAGCTTCTTCTATTAATGAAAATTCCTCAAGAGATTCATCATCATCATCATCATCCTCAAATTCTTGTTCTTGCCATTTGGTAATCAAAATATCATTAATGAATTTTGTTCGAACTTCATCAATATATATTCCTTCATTCTTCGAAATATTAAATGTCCAATGAATTCCATCCATTGTGAAAACACGCAACTGACTTCCATCATACCTCCATGTTAACCCTATCAACGTGAAAGCTATTAAACTATTGTAAACAGGTGAATTCTTCTTGATCAATATTAAATACCTGTAACAATTTTGGACATTGGTATCGTGAAATCCAACGAAATTATTTGAGTATGGTAGAGTAACATCGATTCATCTGAAATCCATACATAGATCTTACGACCTTTTATCATAGCAAACCTTTCGTTTCCATCCTATTTCAATGAAAATTTAAAATTTTATACAGCAAAATATGTTAACATAGAGTAATGATGATACTTACCGCCGAATCGTACCATTTCATAATGTCAACAATACGTCCATCTTCATTCGCAAGAACCATACGTAACGTGACAGAAATTGAAAGTCTTGCATCTTCATTATCTAAAAAATCTCTTGATAAGTTCACTTGCCACAAATGAACGGAGCCTTCAACGCATCCTGTTACAAAACTTGACGCGTCTATGTAATTCCAATTGACATCAAAAAAGTAAAAATCAATTCAAGTAAAATTGTAAAATATAATATTTACTTACATTTACATTGCTCATTCCCCAATCTAATCCATTGTGACCAAGCTGATGTTGTAACCCAAGTTTCATGAGCTTGTAAGCAATAAAGGAAATTAACTCCATCATTGTAACTATTTAAAATAAACCTTTATCATCATTTTTTGATAAAATCACAAATAATTTTTTTTTTTAAAAAAAGAAAAAAATGATATACCTCCAAAAAGTAACGGTTCCAGCCTTACTTCCAATGGCTATAATCGAAACAGGATCGAAATATTCATCAATACATAAAGGTGACCATGAAACAGCTAGATAACATAAATTATTTGTTAGAAAATACTTTGTTTTAAAAACTTTTGTTATTAAACAGTTTAAAGTCTAATAAAACATTTACATATTGATTGGAGTTGATCAACGACGGTTTCATCAGTAATATCTTCAACCTTTTCACTTGTATAGGAATTAATAATTTGTTCAGTCATGTTTTCAATCTAACAAAATTGTAACGGATAATAGTAACGTTAACAATATACATTTCATTCAACTTATTTTTTTCTTCTATTAAATACCTCTATCCAATCTGAGTTAATGGGATTAACTTTTGGTCCATAAATAGAAACATTATATTTTGTTGTAATAGCAATAATCAAGCAACTGTTCATTACATAATATATAAAATAAATAAATAATTAGGCCATGAATAAAAAATAATAACACTTTTTATAAAAATTGATCTACCTCTTCAAATTTGAAGTTCCGCTTGGTGACCAGGCAGCACATCTAAAAGTTTCTTGATTTTCCTGAATAATTCTATCAGTAAAATCTATAAAAAAAAAGACAAAAAACAAAAACAAAAAGCAATTCAAACATTCTCTAGTTACCTCATTAAATTAACAAGCAACATGAACTCGTTATATGTTTATTACCTAGGACATTATTATTAAATTTAAAATACTCTCTCTCTCGATTAAATTCTTGACATTCAATACGAGCGTTACGAACACAAGTTCCATTTCTTTCCATATTTATTCCTTTATACAATGGCGTCTAAATGATACAGGAAAAATTAATATAAAGTTTTTTTTTTATAAAAATAAATAAATAAATAAATTAAATAAATTAGAGTAAAAACCTACAAAAATGTAAATTCCGATTGGAGCGAATAACAATATTTGATTATCTTCGGACCATTTTAAACAATTTGGTATTATAGGTTTTGTATTAACATCTCCGTTATTTAAATTCATTTCAGTCACTTTACAAAAAAAAATAAAAAAAAGATTAAAAGATTTCAGAATTCAATTAATAGTTTTTTTTTTTTTATTATGATTGTTGTTCATTTTTTGAACCAATCATCATCGAGAAAATTTAATCAATTCAATTTTTAAGTTTATTCTTTATTATCGTGTAATTTTTCAAATGTAGAAACCGAAACATAATAATAATTCATTAAATTTGAATTTTTTTTTAATCTCTCAACAAAACACTTTCTATAAATCAAAACACTTTTATGCTAATATTTTCGATCATTTCAAACACAGCGTTCATAAACAGTTCACTATCTCTGCAATGATTTGTAATGTAAGAGAACGAGGAAAAATAATTAATCAAGAAATTAAGAGATTTATTTTGTATTTTGTACAAACTTTCATGTGAATTTATTTCATAACTTTATTAATAGATGAAAAAGTGAAATCATAAACAAGATAAATATACAAAATTTTAATTTATTTTGATGTGTTGTCGTTAACTTTATCTCCCAATTCTTGGATTTGCGGTTGTATTATAGGAAGGTTCGATCTCGGGAGATATTTATTTACAATTAGTCTAACAACAGCACTATGGAAAATCAACAAACTATTGAGAATGATCGATATAGTTATCAGAGTATTGTATTTGATAGCAAACACAAAATACAAAATCTATCATATGAAAGAAAAAAAATTTTTTTTTTTAAGATCAAGTATTTCTCTTGCATTTTCAAATCAAATCATTTTTAAATAGGTTACCTGAAACATTAATTGTGGAATATCTTGGAGAGCGAATTTCATCCAATAAGAATACTTGAGAAAATTGCTTGAATTCGTTATGCTCTTTACTAGTTTAAGTGCTTCAACATCAATGAAGCCAAGTATGTGATAAATAAATCCAATATATTTTGACCCCGTCGGTTTACTGGGATCTGCTTTGGAAACTTTTATGAATGCAATTATGTTAAATATCCATGGAACAACGAGAACTACGATGCTACGCACAAAAAAAATAAATAAATAAATATCAAGATGATTCATTATAAATTACAAAGTTAATTGATCACAGTTTATCGTTTTACCTTCCAACAAGAGTGAATTTAAAATCAAAGCTATAGGTTGCAATAAACCATATATCAAATATAAAATCAAGTGTCGCCAAAGAAATCTTAATCATTACAAAAATGTCCGAAATGTCTGCCTAAAAAATGAACATCAATAATTTTATTAATACAAGCAAGTATAACTAAAAAATTTTCATTAATGTTTATTACCTGGATACAACACGAACAACAGTTTAGGAGCAAAAGAATCGCAAAGAAAGCTGCAAAAAGGCCGACCTCGATTTTATAACTTCCAGATACGGTCTCTAATAAGATAAATAAATGAATAAAATGAAATTATTTATAGAACAAACTCATGATTTTGACTTACTTCTAATGGCACTTCCAAATTCTTCGTCAAGCATGCTGGTTGATTCAAAGCGTGATATCGCAGTAATTGCCTTGTTTCGAATTAGGGTATCCAAATCTCTGATGATCATTTTTCCGTTCAAATTCGATGGACCTTCTCGCTCTCGAATCTTGAGGGAAATTATAATTCTAGAACTTTTATCATAATTTTGAATTTCTTTAGCTACTATGAATCTTCTGGGTTCTGTCGGAATAGTTTTCGTCAAATCAATCGACAATTGATTCATAAATGCGGCCCTATTAGGATCTGTTAACTTCTTAAAGTTAGCAGAAGCTTCCCTTGTGAGTCCAAGAACGACGTCAACGGAATCAGGGTATTCATCAAAAGTATTTTCTTTTAAAAATAAAGAAACATATATATATAATATTTTTATATTAACATATAACGATAAAATACTTTATAAATAATATAATAACTCTCGTTACCAGTAGTGAAGTTCCAACTTCCTGCTCGTAATCCTAAAGGGGCTAACAAAGTTTGCTTATCCACAAAAAATTCATGGGCAATTTCCACCGTATATGTCCCATTTGGGATATTAAAATTGGATTCCAGCATGTTGATTGTGACAGTTTTCCGGTCACTTCCAAGGATGCAATTTGGATGTGTTCCGGGGTGGGTTTGTTTTAATATTTTCTCCGAGTTTTCCAATTGAAATACTGTAATGTTGCCCGTGGACAAATATATTTCGTTTTTAAAAGTGATCGTAATGCTCTCTTTTCTTAAAGAAATTTTAGAATTGTTCGGTGGATCCGTAGTAATGACGTTCGGATTTTCGTATGGTTCTAATTAAAAGGTTGAAAAAAGAAAATTCAATCAAAAGATATTTCGAAAATTTTATTTTTACATCGATTTCAATTAAATGTATCCTTTTTTAAGGAAATCACGTTACAAATATGTATGTGACTTTTCCCAGAAACCTTTTTAGATATTTACCCTGAACAACGAAACTCTTTAAAGGCTTTGATTCCAATGTCCAAGTTGGATCGCCTGGTTTTTGAATAATTGACACAAGGGTATTATTTTGGAATAATATTCCATATCGTCTTCCTAATGCTGGTCTCGCTGTTGGATTGCCAAGTGGCCAAGGTTCCTGCAGGTTCGCTTCCCTGTCAAATATGTAACCGTATAGGTCCTCAAATGTGTCATCGAGTTCGTTGAATCGGTGCAATATTAAAAGATAACCTATAAGATATAATTAAATTTTTTTTTATAATCGAATGAGAGGCAAAATGTTTTATCAAAAAAAAAAAATTAATTTACCTCCGTAATACAAGCTCTCCATGTATATTTCGTGTACGTCTAGTGAATTTATCTCGTTCTATCAAAGAAATAATTTTTTTTTTTTTTTAGAAAAGAAAGGAAGTTTTTTTTTTTTTTTGACGTTTTGCTTTCGACATTTACATACATTTTCATAAGTCTTCTCATCGATTTTTGAACTAAGGTAATAAAAGATCAAATGAGAAATTATTCTTTCAAAGAACAAAGAAATTCAATCAAGTAAAATCAAATATCAAATTACCCGGTCACGGTAAATGTGAGCCGTGTTAAAAAATTACTTCTTTCGGTTAGGTTAGTTCTAACCACCAAAAAGCAATTATATTTTAACTCGTAGTACTCAATTCCACAAGCAAGTTCTCTTAGAGCTAAAGCTGGGGTGGCTCCGAAATGATGTATGAAATAAGGACCCCGTTGTTCATAAGTTTCCGAAGAAATGAAAATAGCATATGTTTCCAATTGCTTCTTTAGCGGACCACCTCCATGGTCAATGGGAATTTCGGTTGCGACAGTAGAATTCACAATCACAATACCAAAATCACCACCTCCTAGCGTTGGAATGGTATAGAAGAAACTTCCGTATTGCATATTTTGTAGGGTGATCGTACCATCTCTAAGGCGCTTGATCGTTCCATTTTCATCTCTATATTAACGTTAACGAAAAAAAAATGATCCAATCTTCGAATTAGTAAAACGCGAAAGATGTTTTACCTTGTACATCTAATACTTACGGTGCGCTGAAATGTACCCAAAATATGTAATTGGTTTCACTTAAGAAATCGGCGTAAAAGAACCCCCGCTCAGGTTGTACGCGATCAAAATGAGTTTCAATCGGATATTGAATTATTTTATTCACGATGTAAACAGGCCCGAGATATTCATTGCTGAGGAAAAATTTTTTAATTTAAATTATTTCTTTTTTTTTTTTTTTTTGTTTTCATATCTCAAATATTATACAAATAATTTTAATTACCCAATTACTTTTCCTGACCAAGAGATTAATTTGGCAAAAACAGACATGTTTTCCTGGTCGTCGTAGCTCGTCCCATTCATGTACGTTATGAGCACGTAATTTGGCATCCAGCTGTACAATCGCAACCCGTAACTTCCTTTAATGCGATGATAACCCATTTCAGTCCTACAAAAATTCCACTCAGGAATTCCCAAAGCATCAGAATAAATATCAAGCGGCGTTACTGTGCCATTTGCATATATAATCCGCAATCTTATCGCCGGTTCCCAGCATCCATTTTTAAGATCTTTGATGACACGAACGACGGTGGTCTCGTCCTTGTACGTTTCGAGTTTGATCAGCTCTAATGTTGGATCAGATTCCGTGTATGTAAACTCGGCTCTTGCTTGGTGAATAGGCAGACAAAGGATCAGAATGCAAAGCAGCGATACTAACATCATGATTTTTGGAGATATCTTAAGATTCATTGTATTTCGAGAATTAATTAGGTTGATAAAAGAAAAAATTCTTTTTTATGTTTGTATTAAAAAAAAAAAAAAAGTTGAAAATTCAATCGCGAATTTATAAGAAAATTACGTCTATAAAGATCGAAATGAAAAAATCTTTGTATCGATTGTTTTAGATTTATTCACGTCACTCCAACAAAAAAAGAAAAGTTTATGGATTAATAACTTTATCGATCACTTCATTATTTGATTTCCAAAATCCGTTGAAAATTTTTTTTTATGATGAACGTTAACTCAAAATCTCTAATTTTTTTTTTTCTTTTATTGGAAGTTTCTGAACTACAACAAAACTGTCACCTGAATTTGCATACATTACAAAAAAGATAATAATAAATTTTTTAATATAAACGAAATAGGGTGTATAATGAAATATGAATTGTTTGGTAGAAAAGAAATGGAATTCCATCGGTGCTACTTTCCAATTACTGTTTCTCTAAATTATGATAAAAATAAGATTGTTTATTGTTTATTAAATATTATTTCCTAAAATCAAGAAATAAAGATCAAAGTTCAATTCAGCACAATAGTATTTGACATGTTGTTTTATTTCCCAAAATAAAAGAACAATGAAATAGTGACCAAAAAGCGCAATGTCGATCAAACGTCATCTGATTGAAAAGATTCTCGAAAGATTTTATCAAAAATTCAGATTTATCATCTTTTATTGACCAAGATGATATCTTTAGCAAAAGTAAAAGTTGTCGGTGGAAATTTGTTATCAAATCCCCAAATTAAAACAAATTGATGATACCGAAGTAAGCAAGTATTTTTTAATTAGTAAATTTATTGTAATTATTTAGTTTATCAATATCTTTAAATTAAAAATTATTCACAACCATCAACCTCATCACATTTATTAAAATGTTCGTTACTGTATGAGACGAGTTTACTTTAGCAAAATCATTTTATTATTGGCATTATATATCTAATCTTGGAATAACATCTTAATATAAAAATAGGATATTCGAAATGCATTTGTTTGCAAATAAATAAAAATCTGTTTGAATCATGTCCATGATAGGAAAAAATATAGTAATTTCGAGTACGAAATTCATTTCAAATATCTAAAATGCCCAAAAGAACCCTTACTTGTATCTTAGGAGCCGAAGAGAGAAAGTAATATTAATAATAATAATAAAAATTAAAGCTAAAAAAAAAAAAAAAAGAAACCTCCGAAAGAATCTACAGAGAGAAGTAATGATTCATTGCCGATTCCCTAAATATAAATATAAAGTCCATTAAGATTACGTTTAGATTGATCGATACCTATATTTAGAACAAATTTTAAATTATTCTTATACTTTTTCGAAAGGCTTGTGTAACTATGAAAGGTGTATGGACTATAAGTAAATTTTGAAGCTTTTGAACTGTAAAATCATATTATATATTGAATTCTATTTGAATCCAATCACCATCAACATGTCTGAGAAAATTGTTAAATACCAAGGTATAAAATTGCTCAGATTTCAACTATTAAATAAAAAGAAATAAAGGAAAATAGAAAGTTATGACCTAGTAAAGATAATGTGAAAAGAAGGTATTATATGAGAAGAGATTTTAAGTGAACAAAAATACAAAAATGATAGAAGAAAATGTAAATATAATTAATTTAAATGTTTAAACTTTCTGAAATTATCAAAAGAATACCAAAATTCTTTAATAAAAAAAAAAATATAAAAAACTTATTATACATTTAATATAATGTGAGAATTATTGAAATAAAAGATTATATCTTAAAAGACTTTTTACACCAATTTTATTTAGTAGCTTAACTTTCTACATAAGATCAAATGATAGATTATATAATAAAGAATTAATGCAAAAATATCTATCTAATATATAATTTTTGTTATTGCAGATTGATCTAATCAGTTTTTTCATATTTTTTCTTTCAATATTAAATACTCTTTATATATTTTAAATACTTAAAACTAATATTTTAAAAATTTGCATTTATTTAATAAGATATTTTAAAAATATAATATGATTATAAAAAGTTAATTTGATCTTATATTTTTTATATATAATATAAATTGATATAACTAATGCTATTTATTTAAATTTAACTATACATACTTAAATATATTAAATAAAAAGTAATTATGTATTTGTATAATTAATATTATCATTAATCATTTTATTTATTTTAAATGATAATTTTATAAAAATCATTAATAATATTATTTAATGATATATAATCATACCAAAAAAAAATCTGATCTAATTTTTATAATAAAATATATAAAGAATAGAAAATTTCAAGCTATATATATATTAGTATTTACTTTAATAATTATTTTTAAATTTTATATAATTTTAAAGCCAGTTAGTTATATTTTTTTAAAAAAAAATTTTAATTTATAGAAATTTTAAATGCATTAATTATTTTAATTATAATGTATAAAAGATTTTTTTATGTTTTAGATTCAAAAAGAAATTTATACATATAATTTCAAGCTATATATAAATTTATATTTCTTTTAATAATTATTTTTAAATTTTACATAATTTTATAATTAACTAATCATATTTTTAAAAAAAAAATAAAATGCAAGAATTATTTTAATTGTAAAATCCAGAAAATAAATTATATATATAAATTACTATATAATTTAAATTAGACATTACTTTCTGATATGACTGTGCAATAAAATTTCTTATAACTAAAAATAAATTATTTTATTTTTAATAATGATATAACAATATTTTATAATTTTATAAAGTATCTAAATATATTAAAATAATTATATACACTTTTTTTTTTAAGTATATTAATTAAATAACTTTTAGAATCAATTATAAAATATACTAAATATGTAATTATAATTCTTTGTTTATTAAACTTTTTTTATAAAATTATTAAATAATAAATTTATATTTTTCAAAAAGGTTTATTATTTTTTAAAAAAAAAATAATATATTTATTATATATATTGTGATCAGATTAACAATCATTTTAATGATAGTATTTATAAATATTATAATTTACTTTTAAAATATTAATTTAAATATTTAATATAATTAGATTATATTTAGAATAAAATTAAAATAATGAATTTCATTATTATAAAGTAATTAAAATAGTTAAATAAAAATAAACTTATTAATAAAAATAAAATAATTTAAATAATATATAAGTAGTAATAGATAATTTAATTTATTAGAATTTTTATTAATAATTCAAATAAAATAAACTATATAAATAATCTTGAATATCTAAAAACAACCTTAAAGAATAAGAATTAATAAGAATTCAATTTTTTTTTGATATAAATTTTAATATAAATGAGAAAATATTTTAAATAATCTGGCATCAATGTTTATATAATTAAATTACATATTACATGGCATGGGAATTTTTCGTGAAACCTATCAATCTTTGCTTATTACGGTAATCACACATTTTTATACTATAACGTCATACATATAATTTTGGCTAAAACCAGACGTTCAACTCGGTTCATTTAAAAAAATTTTTTTCTTTTTTTCATTAAAATATAGGATGCAAGAAAGTAACATAAGAATAAATATAAATAATGATAGTTTAAATGACAAAATAGCTGCTCATAATGATCCGTTTTATAAATTGATTGAAAATCAAGCTAAAGAATTTAAAGAATTTGGTAAACAAATGAGTTTAGACTTGTACATTGCCTATAAAGAACATTTAAATCAAGATGAAGAGATTATTAAGATGGAAAAAGAATCTAAAAATGATTGTGAATGTAAAGAACAAATCATTGCTCAAGAACAATTAATTGATTCATTAAGAGCTCGTATAGAAGAATTGGAAACCGACTCCATTATTAAAAATCAAGATATTAAAAAACTTCGACAAGATTTTATTGATTTTAAAAAATCAATTCTCGAAAATAAGCAATCAATACAAGTTCAAGATATTAAGAGTAGCGTTCCTTCATTAAATGATGAAAACAGCAATGAACCGTTAAACTCTATGGATAATTCTGATATTCTTCATATGGGGACGTCAGAAATTAAAGAAGAAGTAATATCTAGTTTATATATTGATGATACTTTAACAACATCTAATAAAGAAAAGTTTGTTGAACCTTCAACGCCCTTCCAGCAGCAATATTATAAAGAAAAAACCGTTGAACCTTCAACACCTTTCAAGGAATATAACGAAAATACTGTTTATCCTTCAATACCTTTCCAGCAATATAACGGGGAAGTTTCAACACCTTTCCAGCAACATAACAAAAATTTTGTTGAACCTTCAGCATATTTCCAGCATTATAACGAAGAACCTTCAACATATTTCCAGCAATATAACGAAGAATTTTATGAACCTTCAACTTCTTCCTATCAAAATAATGAGACATTTACAGAAGTTCCAACATTATACCATGATGACAATGTATATTATAATAATGTTGCTCCCAAATCTTTTGCAGATACATGGTTTTCTATATCTTCATCTGCTTCAATTCGCAATCAACAAAAACCTAAACAAAAGCAAGCATATAGTACACAACAAAATTTTGAACAAAAACTAGAGGAACCTATTTCTGCTAATCAAAAAGTTTTTGCAGAAATAACGAAGGTGCTTGAAGTAGACGGTGCACGCAAAGTACCAACAAAATTTTCTGTTTATGATTTATTAGAATATGAAAAATCAAAAGAATTTCGTTCGTTAAATGCGAAATCTAAATCAGCTGTTAAATTTAGGATTAATGTAATGTTAAGAGATGAATTGTCTAAAAATAACAAGCTATCACAACCTATTAGTATTTATGCAGAGAGAGGAATGATACCTGAATTACCAAAGGGTATTAAAAGTTATTCTGAATTTCAGAAATCTCCTAGTTATGATTCGTTATCTGCTGTGAGAAAGCAGAGAATTAATAAAGTGATTTCAAACGAACGACAAATGATGTCATGGTCAGCGTTGGCCAGCCAGCCCCCGATTAAATGGTATAATAAAACTGGACCATTGGACTTACAATTTAAGTAACTAGACTTATAGTCCAAGTCCAGTCAAAATAATTGGACTTAAGGTGGCCAACACTGGTCATGATGGTAAATTAATTATTTGAAAATTAACCTGTAATTGTATATACTTAACCTTAATTTGAATTTCCAATAAAAAATTATTCATTTAATTTTTATTTTTATATAACGAGTTTGCTCATAAGTTCCTTATTTTATTTTTGTAAGTGTGAATTTGGTTTCTTTTAACCGACTAAAAATAACTTGTAGTCACATGTTAAATGAAACCAGATCTAATTCGGGCATTGAAAATCACGTTTTGGATTATGTACAACATCGGCTTATTGTTGTTTTACATTACATAAACAATTTTCCGATCCCAATTACCAAATTATTATACAAAATGGGCTGAAATAAATTCAACGTGGTTAAAATAACCCCTCAATTCATTTAAAAAAAATTTTTTTTCACCCAAAAAAACTTATGGAAAGAAAAGAAAGTGACATAGCGGATGATTCCGCATCACCTTCTATTCAAAGTAATGTTGAAATAAATGTAGAAAATGTTACTTTGAATGAAAAATCTACCGTTCTTAATGATACGTTTCATGAATTATTTGAAAATCAAGCTAAAGAATTTGAAGCATTGGGCAAACAAATGAGTTTAGACTTGCACGATGCCTACAAAGAATATTTAAATCAAGATGAGGAAATTATTAAGATGGAAAAGGAATCTAAAAGCGATTGTGAATGTAAAGAACAAATCATTGCACAAGAACAATTAATAGATTCATTAAGAGCTCGTATAGAAGAATTGGAAACTGATTCTATGATTAAAAATCAAGATATTAAAAAACTTCGACAAGACTTTGTTGATTTCAAAAAAGATTTCCAATTAACCCTCAATAACAAACAGCCAGTACAAGTTCAAGGTATTAAGAGTAGCGTTCCTTCAATTAATAATTTAGAATTAGTTAATCAAATTGATGAATCGCTGACAACGGATATGATTTCTTTCTCTATCTCTTCTCATACGGAAATAGAAAGTAAGGAAAAACCTAATAAGAATTCAATAAATGTATTACACTCTGATCATGATGAATATTCTTTTAATCATGAAACCTTGTATGAGCCTTTATCATATGACGAAGAACCTGTTAAAACTTCAACATTTTACCATCAATATGACGAAGAACTTGTTAAACCTTCAACATTTTACCATCAATATGACGAAGAACCCGTTAAATCTTCAACATTTTACCATCAATTTGACGAAGAACTTGTTAAATCTTCAACATTTTACCACCAATATGATGAAGAACCCGTTAAATCTTCAATATCTTATCATCAATATGACGAAGAACTCGTTAAACCTTCAATATCTTATCATCAATATGACGAAGGTCCCGTTAAGCCTTCAACACCTTACCATCAATATGACGAGGAACCTGTTGAACCTTCGTCTTACCATCGGTATGTTGA